CTTCTGAGGAGAGAGACATTACTCTGAGACCTTTGAACATGGAAGATATGAGAAAAGCTAAAAACCAGGTCAAACATCTTTGATCTCATTTTGACAAAGAAAATAAAAATAAAAACCCTAACTAGATTTGTTGTTGTGTTTTTGCAGGTAGCGGCGAGTTTTGCATCAGAAGGAGCAGGAATGAATGAGCTGAAGCAATGGAATGATTTGTATGGAGAAGGAGGCTCAAGGAAAAAAGAACAGCTCACTTACTTCCTCTGAAAAAATTGCAAAACCCTACACAAAGTGTGAATGTATGTTTCTTGCTGCACACTTTATGTTTCTTGCTGCACAAGATACCAAACAGACAAAGCAAAAGAGTTTCTTCTATTACTTGTTAGGTCATTCCATTTATAGACAAACTTTTTAGGTCCATCTTCTTCTCTTTTTCTTTTTTTTTGTTGGGTTTTAGAATTTTCCTCAAAACTGTGATTTCTTTCGTTCTATGTTAATATATATGTCATTGTGAATGTGTTTATTGCGGTTCGATATAATAACATTTGGCTTGAAGTCTTGTCCAGAAAGATCCCAATTTTTTTTGTTAGGTGGAAAAAAAAAACTAAGATATTACATTGGAGGGACTGGATACGACCAACTTCAAATTTCTGATTTAACTGAAACTTCTTAAACAGGCATATAGGACTTTGTGATTCGAGTTGAGGTGTAACCCTTTGAACTTCAGAGCCTGTTATTAGTTTAGGAGAATCTTTGAGTTAAGGAGAGAGACATGTTCCACAAGAAAGTTTGTTCTCTTTAGTAAAAAAGAGTAATGACTAAAAATTATACAACGTATTAGCCCAGACGATAGAATTAGCCACATGATAAGAAGGTACAAGGTTTTGTTCGAAAGCAAGTTCTACATGACGTAGTCAAATACCTAATTGCTCTTGGATAACAAAACATACCTAAAATTCAGAATCGAAAGATTTATTAATTTTGATATCTCGCAGAATTTTTATATGGGAAATTTGCTAAATTGACTCAGTTTGAATTAACGTTTTGTAAATTAACCTTCTACCTATGATTGTTTGTCCCAATAACCTTTCATATTTCTAAATCTCAATTTTATCCTTCTAAATTAAGAAAAATTAATCTTTTACTAATATATAAAAATGATTTTCGTTTTTACAATTTATTTAAAATATTTACAATAAATTTTTTCT